TTAAGTGGGTAGGAGCATCTTGATCAGTGAATTGATTCAATAAATCCATACCAGGCCTTTAGACTAACAAGAGGAACAAATCGAAACACTAAAGGAATTTAAATAAAGGAAGACAGGAAGCCAGCTCTCTGAATTTGACTGTCAGCACCCTCTGGTTTTTGTGGGGGCATAACAGTTGAACATTTGATTGAGAAGCATTACTCTCCCCATTCCCCTGACCATGACTTCTTATAAGTTGTCAAAGACTGCTTCAGAAATTGATACAATAGCGTAATGAGATAATGACATAAGCTTCTACCTTGAAGGTAGAAACTGTTCAACTTTTGTCTTGGTATCGCCACCATCTTGTACCTAATAGGCATTTGATAAATGTTTGCTGAATTGAACAGCAAGAACTCATGTTTAGATAACTACAGCATCTTCATTTATCTTCTCCATTTACAGATGAGGTGACTGAATTAGAGAGAAATAAATTAGTTAAGCTGTCAAGTACTGGTAGGGCAGGGAAGAGAGTGCAGATGTCCGTACTAACAACTAACAACACTGATACATAGACTTAGATATCTAGTCAGGTAAGGAAGTAAGGGAAGATGACATAACAGAGACAATCCTAAGAGTTAATAGTGGTAGATATACTAAGAGTAATGGGTGGGAGTTATAGGGAAACAGATTATGACTCAATAAGGAAAGACTTCCTAATCTAAAAGTGGACAGGGCCTACTTTAAGAGTTAGTAAGTTCTCTCAATGAGGGGGGTGAGGTGGGAAGGGAGGGAGGGAGGGAGAGAATTTGGAACTCAAAAAACAAATGTTGAAAATTGTTTTTATGTGTAACTGGGGAAAAATAAAAAATAAAATACTTTTAAAAAAGAGTAAGTTTTACATGTTGTGGTGGTGGAAGAGAGGGAGATTTCCAGTGAAATCTAGATGACCATTTGTCAAACCTAAATGGGATTCCTCTCTAATTAAAATTAGACTAGGTGATCTGAGGTCCCTTCCAATACTGTTGTTCATTTGTTTTGGTCGTGACCAACTCTTTGTGACCCCATCTGCAGTTTTCTTGGCAAAGATACTGGAGTGGCTTGCCATTTCCTTCCTCATTTTACAGATGAGGAAACTAAGGCAAACAGGTTTAAGTGACTTGCCCAGGGTCACACAGCTAGGCTAGATTTAAACTCAGGAAGATGATTCTTCCTGACTCCAGGCCCAGTATTTCATCACTCAGGTACTGCAACACTGAGAGTCTGTGTATTTAGCGACTATTTATTGACTATTCTGATCACTCATTTTGGACTTCTTTGACATCTCTATCATGCCTGCTCACCCAGTACCTCACCCCAACTGCTTTTTAGTTTTCTTTTGTCTGTTGTCTTCCCTCATTAGATTGGAAGCTCCCTGAGGTTAAGAACTTTCTCTCTTTTTCTTATTTATATCTTAGCACTTAGCACAGTGCCAGTCATGTACTAGTGAATTAATATTTATTGACTACTGATCATAGCACTGTGCTAGGTAGGCGGTTGAGAGTACACAAAAAAAAATGAGTATCTGAACTTAAGCTTACGATCTAGAGGATAATTTCAGCTTCTTAGTTTCAGCTTCTTTCATGGCTTTTTTAATTTAAAAAATCTCATTTGTATCTATCATGCTTATAAGTATATTACTAGGTCAATTGGAGAACTGCTGAGCAAGTTGTAGTATATGAATGTAATGGAATACTATTGTGCTATAAGAAGCGATGAGCAGGATGGTTTCAGAAAAACCTGGAAAGACCTGTATGGTCTGATGCTGAGTGAAATGAGCAGAACCCAGAGAACGATGTGCACAATAACAGCCACATTGTGCGATGACTAATATTGAAAAACTTAACCCTTCCCAGCAATACAAGGATCTAAGACATCTTCAAAGGCTTCATGATGGAAAATGCTACCCATATCAAGAGAAAGAACTATGAAAGTTGAATTGCTATTTTTTTCTCTTCTATTGAGTTTTGTTTCCTCTTTCTGGTGGTTCCTCCTATTGGTTCTAATTTCTACTTACAACATCACTAATGTGTAAATATGTTTAATAGGAATGTATATGTATGGCTTATATCAGATTGTGTGCTGTCTTGGGGAAGGTGGTGGGGAGGAAGGAGGAGAAAAATTTTAAACTCAAAAGTATATGGAAGTGATTGTTGATAAATCAAAATAAATTAATTTAAAAAAATTTTTTAAATTAAGTATATTACTAGGGTTATTATTTTGAAAAATAGAAAAAAGTCAAACATTATTTTCCAATAGCTCCTTCACAGCTACCAAATAAAGGTAAAAAACTGCAAGAATCTATTCAAGTTAACCCATCTGAAAGCATAAAAAAGGTAAAAATAAGCCCAAGAACCTAAGAACAACACAACTAACTCTCCCCCACCACCATTCATCATTCAGAGAAACATCCTTTACAGAGACGTGACCTGACTGAAGACTGAGAAATCTCTCACCCCCAAAGACCTTGACACTGTCAAATGGCTCAGCATCAGACATAGGCTTGTTTGTTCTAATGGAAATTACACTAAAAAAGCATTACCATCGGCCTTGCTACTATATCCTAAGGACCACTGGGATTTTTTGACTGGACCTGCAACTGAAACCTCCTACAAGTGTCAACTCCCCCCCCCCTTAGAAGGTGAGATACCTTACTTTTCTATTTGTATCCCCAGTATGCTGTGTGACCTTGGACAGTCACTTAATCTCTCAGTGCTCTAAGCAACTCTCTAAGAGTATTAGCTACAGAGAAGGACCTGACTAACATAGGTAGAGAGTGTTTCCTCACCTGGGAGTTTCCTTTACCAATGAAATCACAGGTCTAAGTTTCTATCCAGACACCCCTATCCCCAATGCTTAATACATTATAGATGTTTAATAAATGCTTTTTCATTCATTCTTTAAAATCTTCCTATAGTTCTGTGGATTCTGCTTTTCCATCTCCTTTTACAGGATGATAAGATTTAGATTTGGAAGGGACCTTTGGTTAGCATGGTAGAGTAGAAAGAGTTCCTGAGCCGGAGTCTGGAGAGACCTAAGTTTAAACTCTACCTTCCATACTGTACTCCAATACAGTTGGTTTGTTTTGTCATCTTAAATATTTTAAAAACATTATTCCAAGAAGGAGTGTATAGGCTTTAACAGACCACCAAAGGGGCAAAGAAGTTCTTAGTCTTACTACTTTACTCCCACTCACTCTTTGAACCACTGACAGCGGTACTCTCTGTTGCTCCTGGAGCATGACACTCTACCTCTGGCCTCCAACTGGCTGTTTCCCAAGTTTGGAACACTCTCCCTACTCATCTGTACCTCCTAGCTTCAGAATTTCAAGTCTCTGCTAAAGTCCTTCCTTTGGCAAAAAAAGCCCTTCCCAGTCCTTAATCTTAGTGCCTTTCCTCTGAGAGTACTCCTAATTTATCCTGAATATATCTTGTTTGTATATAGCTGTTTGTATATTGATTTCTCCATCAGATTATGAGCTCAGACCCTGAGAGCAGGGTCTATTTCTTGCCATTCTTTGTATTCCCAGTCTTGTTCACAGTAAGGGCTTAATAAATGCTAATTGACTTGAAGAACACAAAAAAGGTTACGAATCCACGTGTTAGAGGCAGATCTATGATCCCAGACCTTTTTCACTGCTACTAAGCCACATAGCTTATATACAGATAATACTAGTTCCAGTATTTTCCTTGTAGGATTATTGTTAAGAGATAAAACCGTAGGCTTGCTCTAAAGCTCTAAGGTAGGGTTGTTGAAGAGATAAAAGTACATAAAGCCTTTTGGAAACTTTAAAACCTAAGTAAATTTCAGCTATTATCATTCCATTTACAGATAAACAGACCTTTTGATTTTTCCCTCCCAAAATAACTTTCGAGTGGTTATAGTGGAACAACAATATCTCACAAAATTAAGTTTTCGGAGCATTTTCCTTTTCAACCCTTGGCTCAAATGCCACTTTCTCCTTGAGGCCTTTTCTGACCTTCCCCACCCTCCTACCTCCCCCTCCATAAATACCTCTATTTTATAGACACCTATCTAGGACCATGCTGTCTCCTCAGGGTAGATTGTAAACTGATTATCTTTGTGTGTTCTCTATCACCTAATCCCGGGCCTGACAGGTAGGTGCCGGCTGTACTTCAAAGCTTGCAGAATACCTGATTAATAGACTTGGGAGGTAAAGCAAATATCACCGTTCCCTTTTCAAAGAGGAGAAGGTAGTCCCATGCTGTGTTTCAAACAGTAATGGCATCGTTAACTTTCTTAATCAATCAATAAACATTTATTAAGCGCCTACTGGCAGCTAGGTGGAAATGGAGAGAGTACCAGGCCTGGGGTCAGGAAGCCTCATCATCCCGAGTTCAAATGAGACCTCAGACACTTAAAAGCTGTGTGACCCTGGCCAAGTCACTTAACCCTGTTTGCCTCAGTTTCCTCATTTATAAAATGACATAGAGAAGGAAACGGCAAACCACTCCGGTATCTTTGCTGAGAAAACCTCAAATGGGGTCAAGAATCAGACACGACTGAACAACAATAAAATGTGCCAGGCATCGTTAAGATTTTTGAGAGATAGAGGGGGATAAGAGCAGGCCCCTCCAGGGAAAACATGTGGGAGCAGATGACTCGAAAGGGCAAAAGTCGCCCAGATAAGCGGACAAGCAGACTCCTCTTCCTCGCCAGGTGGAGAAAGCTTGAAGAGTCTTCCGCAACACTCGGCACAATGCCCACATCTAAGATGGCGCCCCAGCGCGGGAGGAGCGCGCCTTCAGCCACCCCTGAGGCCATGCCCGTACTTAAGATGGCGACCGTGGCGGGACTCCACCTCTGTACCTTCCCAAGGAAGTGCCCGTTCTCAAGATGGCGGCCGGGGACTCTGGTGGCAATTCTGCCGCTGGGCTTCAGCCTGGCGACTCGGCATCCGGATAGGGGAGGGAGGAGGAGCCTGCAGGGGAGGGCAGAGGCGGGGCGGGGCGGGGCGGGACGAGTGCGGGGCAGCTGATGTGTCTGTCCGCTCCGAGGCACCGGCTAGCCCCATCCTCTCTCCTTCTCGTCTCGGACTCTACCCTTTCCTCCCGGAGACGTCATGAGATCCCCGGCGGGCCGCCTCTCCGACAGTGAGTCCGAGGATGCGCTGCACAGCACCCCCTTACTTCAGAAACCCCCTCGGGGTAGCCCAGGTGAGCGGGGCTGCACGGCCGGCCAGGGGGAGACCCGGCCTGAGCCCCCTCTCCTCCACCCGGGAGGGAGGGCCGGGAGAAGGAGAGGATGGAGTGGGGCTGCAGGGACCCTTCTCCCACGGAGTCACACCCACACACCCCTTTTACATCCCCCCCCAACATCCCCCGCTTCCTTTCCCAGGAAGGGCCCCAGCCTCGAGGGCGCCTCCCTGCACGGCTGGAGCGAGGGGGACCGGAGCTGCAGGACTTGAACCTGACCGCTCCCCCTTTCCCCCAGTCCCGGCTGGGATGGACGTGGGGCTGGCCTTGCCACCCCTGGTGCAGGACAGGTGCGGGGCAGGCACTGCGCCCTGGAGAGCTCCGTTGGACCCTGAGGTTCCATCGGTTTCCTTGCTGGGTGACCCAAGGCACTCGGGGCAGTCTGGTGACCCAAGGCACTCGGGGCAGTCTCGTGACCCAAGGATAGAATCTGTTATTGCTCTTCTTCCCTTTCCTATCAGCAAAAGGATGATTGTGGTCAGGCAGCTGGTTTTTTGGGTGTTTGTGTTTTTTGGGGGGGGGGAGGATATAGTGATACATTTGAGTACTTAAAGTTTGGGGGAGGGGCGTATGTAAATGCTATATGCATTTAGGCATTTTTAAGTATTCAAAATTGTGGGGAAATGTATTATATAATGTTGCTGCATTTTGAATTGATGTAATGAAGCTCCCAAAGGTTTTCTAAAGATTTCCTGCAACAGCCTGTGATTAAAGTAAAGAAGCAGTTCTCTGAAGTTCTCTGTGTGACCTCGACCAAGTCTCTTAACCAAGGCCTGCCTCAGTTTACCCAACTGTAAAATGAGGACCATAATAGCTCCTATCTTCTAGGTTTGTTGTGAAGATCAAAAGAGATGATAGTTGTAAAGCACTTGCCACAGTGCCTGGCACAAATAAGATGCCATTTAAATGCTAGCTATTATCATCAGTAGGCAGGTAAGTGGTGAATTGGTTAGAGGCTTACTAGCTGTGTGACCCTGAGCAAGTCACTTAACTCTGTCTCAGATCCCTCATTTGTAAAATGAGCCAGAGAAGGAAATGGGAAACCACTGCAGTATCTTTGCCAAGAAAACTCCAACTGAGGTTGGGATCGGACACAACTGGACAACATCCAACATCGTCATCATCTTTTATTATTGAAGTAATCCCTAGTTCAGTTTCCTGCATACTAGCTAAGTGACCTTAATCAAGTCACTGTGATGTCCAAAAGTAAAAGCAGGAAGTAAAGGGAAAAGGAAAAAGAGGATAGAATAAAACCAAAGCCAAGCAGTAGAAAGCAGAGACATATGATGACAAGTACTAGTTGTTTAGTGTGTAAAACCTAGTTGGGGTTTTCTTGGCAAAGATACTGGAGTGGTTTGCCATTTCCTTCTCCAGATGAGGAATTAAGGCAAACAGGTTCAAATGAGTTGCCCAGAAGCAAACAGCTACTAAGTTTCTGAGGCTAGATTTGAACTCAGGTCCTTCTGACTGCAGGGCTGGCACTATCTATTGAGCCATCTAGCTGCCCTGCACAAATGCTAGAGTACCGCAATTCTGTTGCCATTTGATGATACTTATGGTCTAAATTGCTTATCCCTTTGTTATCTAACACAATACCTATGGAGCTTTCTTAGCCTTGCCATCCTTTCTCACAGAGAATGGAAGGATTACCAGCAGGTTCCATGCAACAGTTTTTACAGTAACACCCTTTCTCTCCAGAATTCTGTCATCTGGCAACCTGACCTATATGTAACACAAGGATCTAAGATATAAGCCAAAAAAAAGGCCTGTGAGCAGTCAAAATAAATACTACCATGTACTTGGAGTGGCTTTTACCCAGAACCTGTTTTCTTGTTAGATCAGAACTGGTACATGTCATCTGTGAATGCTGAGCAAGATTTTGAAAATTGTTTCTGTTCCTTGGTAATGACAGGTGACAGAGAGAGAGACTTTGGGCCTTCACTGTAATTTATTGTTTGTTCAACAGACATAAAATGCCCATCCCACGGAGCACTAGGCTTGAAGAAGGGAGAAAAACCTTCTGCCTTCTGGGAGCTGACAGTCTAGTAGGTAAAAAGATACAAGCACAAGTGAACATGATACAAAAACTTTGTGATAAGCACAATAGAATTATAAAACAAAATACAGTGTGTGGTACTTGGATGAAATCATTGAGGGATTGAGAATGCAGGAAAGGCTCTGTGGAGAAGGTAGCATTTGAATTAGAATATTGTAGAAAATTAAGTATATGACAAAGTGGGCATGAATTTCAGACACAGAGAAGATGTGAACAAAAGCACCATGTCACATAAGCTGTTCAGAAATTAGAAAGCAGATCAGTTTGTAATGTAGAAGAGAGTTCTATAAGATGAGAAAGAGAGAGGTCAGACTGTAAAGTGGACTGAAGAGAAGTTTTGCCTTTAATTAGTAGACAACAGGAAGTCACCAAAGATTTTTGGGTGGAGACATAAGATTTATGGATAGGAAGGATTGTTGTGGCATCAATATGGGGGGAATGAGTCAGGGAGCAAATAAGCACTGGATATTGACGACCTTTCTTCACTAAGTTTTGTAGTGAAGATGAGAAGAGATGTACTAGAATGAGAGAAGGCTTCTTTAGTGTTGAGGAGACCTAAGCATGCTGTCATGTGGAAGATACAAGAGAGCAGCAGAGGCACAGATGGAGGAATTAATCATTGTAAGGAATAGGAGTACCCTATTTCTGTGACTATAGAGGACAAGAGTAAGTAATTATGCTAAGAAGTTTTGAGAAACAATGAATGTTTCATGAATCGAATGAAAGTAGAGAATATGAGTGTTCATGTAGTAAACATAATTCAATAATATTTACAATGACTTTCAGTCACAAATAAATGTGAACTTTTTTAGTAAATTTTAAAATTGTATCTAATTAATATTCTGCTTTTTGTTAGTTATTCATTTACTAAACATAAATATTCATTTATTAATATAAGTTATTCATTCTTCTCTCCCCTGCTAATAAATTCTTAAAGGGCTGAATCTTGTTCTTTTTTGTAACCATCCTTACAGTCTAGCACAGTGCCATATACATGGCTGGTGCTCAGTAAATGTTTGTTGAATTTTTTAAAAAAGTTAAATTAATTTTTTCTTGTTAGATCAGAACTGGTACATGTCATCTGTGAATGCTGAGCAAGATTTTGAAAATTGTTTCTGTTCCTTGGTAATGACAGGTGACAGAGAGAGAGACTTTGGGCCTTCACTGTAATTTATTGTTTGTTCAACAAACATAAAATGCCCATCCCACGGAGCACTAGGCTTGAAATAAAGTTTTAAAAGTGAGATCATACATAGAACCATTGTCTCCAAATTATTTGCAATTTATCTTTAAATATATTAACTTTAAACAAAATAATAGTTTGTATCATAAGCAGGACTTGATCCCAAGTTTTCCCACTTTAATGACTGTACTATATCATACTATCTCTCTACTGTAGTTCCTAATATTTTGTCCCTCTTAATGCAGCCAAGAATTAATGGCTTCCATATCACACTCCTAAGAGAGGACAAGGTGGGTAGTAGATCCCAGCTCTGCTATTTACTACCTGTGTGACCTTGGGCAAATCATCTAACCTTATGAAGCCTGATTTTCTTCATCTATAAAATGAAGGGTATGAACGAGATGATTTCTAGTCTTTGAATCTATGGAATCAATAGATGAAGAACTAACCTTGTAAATCCTGTCTTTGACGCACCCTGGATGTGCGAAAGGTAGGCAGGTCATTGCCCCAGCCTCTCAGTGCCGCAGCCAACTCTCTAAAGGCCTGTCTGCTTTGGAGTTTCTTCCCCAGGAACTCTCAACATAGATAAAATCACAGATCTAAAAAAAATTTTTTTTAATTACATTCCCGTAGGGCCTAGAAATATATAATGTTCTACCTAGTAGAAATAGAGTTGAATTAAATATCACATATAAAATAAGCACAATTTATTTAAATATTTAAATTAAATATATATTCCTGACATGTTGTGATACTACAAAGTGGTTTGTGTTTTGTTGTTTGTAAATAATGGAATTACACTTTATTTTAAAATTATTTTGGATGCACTCATGTTTGGTATTTTGGGTGCCTTACGCTTAACGGTACTTTTACTTGTTTTTTGTTTCAGTTCCTGTATGCTGTTCCACTCGTTACAACTTAGCAATAATAGCCTTTTTTGGATTCTTCATCCTCTATGCCTTACGTGTGAATCTAAGTGTAGCATTAGTGGATATGGTATATTCAAATAAAAGTATGGAGAGAAACACAACTTCTGAGGCATGCCCAGAACATTCTGCTCCCATAGAAGACTTTCACAATCGAACGGTAGGTGTTTAGCTCTTTAATTTAAAAAAAAGTAGTTTTGCTAAATAACCTTAAAGCAGAATAGCCATTGTCAGGAATAAGTGCAATTTTTGGGCAAAAAGCTAAGCACGATTTTGAAATAGGGTTTCTTTTTAACCCACAAGTCCCATAAGAGTTGCCACCTTCAAGTTTTACCTTCAGAATCACCCTTCTGATGTAGCAAATGGAATCCCTTAGGTAGCGAGTCCACCTGTGACAGTTTTAGTTTGATCTATTTCGAACATAGTCTAAAAATAACTTCTGGTACTTTGCTACGGTACACATTGATCTGTTTGAGAAGCATTTACATTGTTCCACTCCAGATATGTCCAAGGAGATAAATGTTGGCAACATCACTTTTTTTTTTTTTTTTGCTTTTTGGCTAGGCAATGGGGTTAAGTGACTTGCCCAGGGTCACACAGTTAGTAAGTGTCAAGTGTCTGAGGTCACATTTGAACTCAGGTCCTCCAGACTCCAAGTCCGGAGGTCTATCCACTGCACCACCTAGCTGCCCCTAAGCAACAGCACCTTTTAAAAGGAATGTTATTTAATACTTGATTTGTTGTTGTTGCTAATATTAACTATTCCCAAGAGTGCTGGTGTATTATCACAGTCAGTTTTCTGTACTCTGCAATTGATTTATATACTATGACTTGTTTACGGAGAGGCACCAAATTGCAGATCAGAAATCAAAACCCTGAACCATCTAGGAGAAAAATTTTCTCCACACTTGAACATGCCTATGGGCAATTGGGCAAGAGGAACATGTCCAAATACTATTGAAGTAGGAATTAATAAGTGAACACCAAATAGTTTTATAAACAATTGAAAAAAATAATTTTATTGTTTTTTCTTTGTTGCAAGGATGAGGTTACTGGTACAAGTAGAAGAGATTGATGACCTTATTTTTATTATAATATTTGTTTCTTTTCATCCGTCTGGTGATTTTATTTCTTTGTAAAAATCAAAAGATTTTTGTAATTTTTATAGAATCAAAAAGATAGGCTTAAGAATAGTTAGCCAGTCAGTAAACATTTATTAAGCGCCTATCACAGGCCAGGCAGTGTGTTAAGTGCTAATGGTACACAGAAAGACAAAAGACATTCCCTGCTCTCAAGGAGCTCACAGTCTAATGGGGGAGAGGACATGGCAACAGCTATGTACAAATAAGATGTGTTCATAATAAATTGGAAATAATCAACAGTGTGAAGGCACAAGAATCAAGGGGAATTGGGAAAGGCTTCTTATAGAAGGATGCTAGAGAAGCTAGGAGGCAGAGCTAGGCAGGCATGGAGGACAACCACTGAAAATGTCTGAAGTCAGGAGATGAGAACATCTTGTTCAAGAAATAGCAAGGAAGGGACAGCTAGATGGCACAGTGGATAGAGCTCTGGACTTGGAGTCAGGAGGACCTGAGTTGAAATTCAGCCTTAGACACTTGACACTTACTAGCTGTGTGACCCTGGGCAAGTCACTTAATCCTGATTGCCTCACCAAAAAAAAAAAAAAGAAATAGCAAGGCGACCAGTGTCCCTGGATCACAGTGTTGGGGGAGGAGGGAAATGGACTGGTTATTTGCCAAACAAAGTGCTGTATGAAGCCCAAGATGTGGAGGGTCATTACTGAATGAAAAAATTAGGAAAGAAGGGAGTGACATTTTAGCTAAGCTTTAAAGTATACATAAGAATTTTAAAAAATGAAAAAGAAAAGACAGTAAGGGCATAACAACATGACCAAAGGCATGAACTGGAAAGTACAAGAAGTACTGAGGACAGGGAAAAGTTTTGTTGGCTGGAATGCAGAGTGTCTGGAAAGGAGTCTTGAGATAAGGCTGGAAAGGTAGAGTAGTACCTGGTTTTGAAGGGCCTTGAATGCCAAACATTTAAACTATACTGGAGGGTTTTTTCTTTGATTTTAATCTAAATTTAAAGAAGATTAAAGCAGCTCCATGAAGGTTAGAGTAGAGGGATGAAAGAGTGACAGATTTGTTAGGCAATTTCAGTAGTCATGGCCAATGGGAATGAGGACCGATTCTTACTAGAGTTGTTGCAATGGGAATAGAGAGACTAGGGCGCAGAGGTGAGAGGGGTTATCATAGAATCTCTTAATTAGGGGGAATCTCAGAGGTCTTCTGGCTTGACCCTACAACATCCCTAACAAGTTAATGCCATTTAATCCCTGCTTGAAGGCCTTCAATTATGGGAGAACTCACTGCCTTCCAAAGCAGCCCATTTCTCTTTTGAATAGCTCTGTTTTTCCTTAAGCTGAGTGGAAATTCTACAGTTTCCACTTAATTGTTTAAATTCACTGTACCTACTATGTTCCTCTGGCACTGGGGAAAGAAAAACAAAAACTAATAGTTCCTTCTCTCTAGAAACTTAATGAGGGGAATTAATCAACAAACATTCATTAAGCACCCACTGTATACTGGGCACTGTGCCAGGTACTGAGTATACAAAGATAAAAGTAAGACAGTCCCTGCTTTCTGTGTGCTTGAATTCTGCTGGGAAAGATATGTGTGTGTGTGTGTGTGTGTGTGTGTGTGTGTGTGTGTGTGTGTACACATACACATATATAGAGTAAATAGAAGGCAGAGAGGAAGGACACTGACAATTGTAGGTTTCAGGAAAGACTTCATATAGGACCTGGCACTTGAGCTCAGTCTGGAAGGAAGTAAGAGATTGGAGGTGAGGGGAGAGTGCCTCCCAGGCATGGGGGATGACTGGCATAGAGAAGGGATTTTACATTTGGAGCTGGAAGAGCCCTTAGAAGTTATTGAGCCCCACCCCTTCATTTTTACAAAGTGGGAAACAGAGGCCCAGAGATGGAGTGACTTGCCTGGGGTCCCAAGGCCAGTAAGTGTCTGAGAAGGGATTTGAATGAACATTTTACCCACTCTAAGTCTAGCATTCTATCCTCTAGATACCATGCTGTTTATTAAAAAACAAACCTGAGGCACGGAGAAATTAAGTGACTTGCCTAGAGTCATACAGTTACCCAAGTGAGTATATTAGGCAGGATTTGAACCCAGGTTATTTATGACTTCAAGTTCAATGCCCTATTCACTGTGTCCTAACAGAGAGAGTGGGACAGCAAGGGCAGTTTGGCTGGATCATAGCATATAGAAAGCTGAGTAATGTAAACCAAGGGAAGAGAAGTGGATGGGGCCAAGTTATGGCTGGTTTTAAAAGCCAAAGAGGCCATGGGAACCAACTGAATTGAGTAGGACAGCAATATGATGAGATTTGTGCTTAAGGAAAATCACTTTGTGATTAGCATATGGAGGATAGATTGGAGTAGGGAGAGACTGTACGAAATAAATCAACTAGAGAAGGGGAAAACTGCCCTGTATTTTGCCAGACTGTGTAATACAACATGTATGTTACTTCTTATGCCTTTGCCACTTTAAAAGAATAGTAGAACCTGGCACAATAAAGGTTTCTCTAACATAGATGTGGATTTAGTTTCTGTGTCAAATTATGTTCTTTGAAATTACCTGCCATAAAGTGCCAAAGGCAACTAGGTGGCACAGTGGATAGAGCGCCAGGCTTGGAGCCAGGAAAACTCATCTTTGTGAGTTTAAATCTGGCCTCAAACACTTATTAGCTGTGTGACCCTGGGCAAGTCACTTAACTCTATTTGCTTCAGTTTCCTCATCTGTAAAATGAGCTGGAGAAAGAAATGGCAAACTCCTCCAGTATCTTTGCCAAGAAAATCCCAAATGGGGTCACAGAGAGTCAAGTATGACTGAAATGACTAAACAACAGCAATAACAACCATAAGGTGCCAACCAAGTCCTACATTTTTATTCATGATCATTAGCACACAAATTGCTTATTTATAACTGTTTTTGTTACAAGATGGGGTTTTTATTTGGGGGATAATGATAGTGATTCGAAAAAAAAGGTCATCATTGAAACACTTCTAAGATACTCAGAGGAGGCTAGAGAGAGATTCAGAGGAGCATACAGAAAGCAGGACAATATTAGTACTGTTATGTAATATTTAATGTATATTAAAAGGAACAAGCTGGGGAGGATTTGGAGGTGAGGGACATGTGATAGTACTGCTGGAAAAAGGAGAAAAGAAAGGGATCATAGCAGTGTTTTTTTAAATACAAAAGAGAAAAGAAGGAAGCTCAGAGGAAGACCAGATAGTAGGATAACTGCTGATTTATTATATGCTTTTTTTTTAACTGTTCATTGTAGAGATTCCCAGTTTTCTGCATGTCTTTCTGTTCTTTCCATATGGAAACGTTCATATTAATTGTTGTTTTTCAGGTTCATAAAAATAATGATGATGATATTAGCTAGCATTTACATAGTACTTTAAACTATATGTATTTTATTCTATCTTCACAACAGCCTTTTGTGGTTTAGGTGCTATTATTATCCTCATTTTACAGATGAAGAAACTGAAGCTGAGAAATGTTATATGATTTGCCCAGCATCAGACAGTTAGTATCTGAAACAGGATTTGAACATAGGTCTTCCTGAGTTGCTTTATGTACCATGCCACTAAGCTGCCCCACAATAACAAAAATGAAAATTATTAATAAAAAAATGAAGCTTCAAAAATAAATGAAAGGAACGAACACTACAGTAGTGGATGTGTGATCTCACATATGATCCCCACTTGCTGGCCTTCTTTGTACAGGTAATGTTCATGGTTGTTGAGAATTCTGAAGCCAAGTAAAATCATTTTAAATCCTCTTTCACCTGACAGCCCTCTAAATTCAGCTGTCATTCAGCCCCCTTCTTTAACCTTCCTCCTCTCCCCAGTTCTTCTCTTCTTCAGGCTAAACATAACCAGTTCCTTCAGTTAATCCTTATGTGGCAGGTTTGATTCCTTCACAATCCTAGTTGCCTTTATTTGGACATGTTCTAATTATCAATATCCTTCCTAAATTCAACATCCAAAACTCTGAGATTCAAGATGTTGTCCAACCAGGTCGGAGTCTAGTAGGACTTTTCCCTTACCTTACTTAGAATGCTGTGCTTCCATTAATGAGATAAAGTCAGTAAGACTTTGTAATTGATTGATTGGATATGACTAGTGACAGAGAAGGAAGAGTCAAAAGAAACATCCAAATTTCAAATTTAAAAGACTGAGTGAGTGGTGGTGCCACATATAGAAATAGGGAAGTAAGAAAGGTCAAGTTTAGAAGTAGAAATAATGAGCATGGTTTCAGATATGTGGGATTTGATGTGACACTTGATCCAGATGACTTATAGGAAATAGAGATTTGTCTGTCATCTTCATAGAGGTGATAGTTGAAGCTGTGGGAGTAAAACATATTGCTTAAGGAGAGAGTATGAATGTTTCAAAATCTTTGGTTTTGGAATACAGATAAATTATACAGTCAGATGTATATAATAGTCTTGACATCTATTTCTGGTTTTAATCCAAAATCCAATTTGAGGGGCAGATAACCACAGATAATCTATCAATTGAAATATGCTATGTACATATAATCCAAAAGTTGAATCCAAAAGTATAATTAAAATGTTGATATGTCTGTATGTGTGTGTATGCTGATATATCTATGATAAAGACATTCTCGATAGATTTGCACATGTTAACCAAGTCAAACCAAAGCTATCTGAGGTTTAAAAATTAAGTGTTGAGCTCCTCCCAAAAATTAAATAAAATCCTTGCCTACAGTGAGTTGACAATATAATTCACCTGCATGATATATATTATTTGGGGGGCAACTAGATGGTGCTGTGGATAGAGCGTTGGGCCTGAAGGCAGGAAGACATCAGACACTTCATAGTTGTGTGACCCTGGGCAAGTCACTTAACCCTGCATATCTCAATTTCCTCATGTGTAAAATGAGCTGGAGAAGGAAATGACAAACGACTCCAATATCTCTGCCAAGAAAATCCCAAATGGGTCACAAAGAGTTGAACACAACTGAAATGATTGAACAACAACAATATATTATTTGATGCCCGGATAATTAAAGTGTCTGTACACTTGTTCTAAAGCTGAAAGGAATGTAAACCTAAAGAGAATTTTTAATATTCTGAATAAAGCATATGAAGCTTTTTGTTCTAAAAGACCTCTTTGTCTCAATAAGTTATAAAACACCTTCAGCTGATCAGATTGTTTTCTTTATCCTAAGATGTTCCATAAAACAGCCATCTTTCCTGATGGCTTGGAGATTTTAGCTCCCTGCGTATCAATACAATTCCTTCAGACTGTATTCCTGGAGCTCATATAGTCACATTAGCTATCAAAAGGTTCTCATTTCTTAACTGTCACACAGATTAAAATAGTTGACAAAGATGATTAATTTTGAAGTGAAAAATAAGTTCTTGAAGTCAGATACTAAAATAATTTTTATTGCTGTGTTCTAGGGAAAGAAATACCATTGGGATGCAGAAACTCAGGGATGGATTCTTGGCTCCTTTTTTTATGGCTATATCATCACTCAGATTCCTGGTGGATATGTTGCCAGTAAAGTGGGTGGAAAGCTGCTTTTGGGATTTGGAATACTTGGTACCTCTTTGCTCACATTATTGACCCCCATTGCTGCAGATTTAGGAGTGGGCTTTCTCATTGCAGTCCGAGCACTAGAAGGACTAGGAGAGGTAAGTTATTTATCATTGCTTCATTCTTCATCCTGCTTTCTCTCTTAAGTTTCTGAACATTCCACAGTTCAAGGGTGGGGTCAGCATCCTTTTGAGGTAAAATGACCATTTTTTGTAGTGTTTAGAATATAACTTTTTAAAAAATATTATTATATGTACTTTACAATTAACATCAGAGATTGCTTTCCCAACCTCATCTATACTGATGAACAATTTATATTTTGAAATTCCATTTGTACTATTAAATTTTATATTTATTAAGCAACTCAGACCCCAAACAGGGACTTGAGTCTTTTGTGAAAGTAGAATCACTATTGCTGACTTTTATCAGTTCTTCCTTTCCTTTTCCTATTTCTTTTGTCTTTTTTCATTTAAATTCTTCATCTCTTTCTTTTTTTTAGAGACATTTTATACAGGTATTTGGAGGGATTTGGGGGAGAGCTCAAGCAAGTCACTGCTTTTATTCTGCCATCTTGGCTTTCTTCATCTCTTTCCTTCCTCTTCCATTTGTCTTAAACATTCTGCAGTCTCCCCTTTTACAAATTTTTGTGCCTTTGGGAAATGCAGCATGCTAGTTGCAGGTAATGATGGAACAACTAGGTGGCGAAGTGGACAGAGTGCCAGGCCTGGGGTCAGGAAGAATTGAGTTCAAATCTGCCATCAGACACTAACTAGCTTTGTGACCCTGGGCAAGTCATGTAACCCTGTTTGCCTCCATTTTCTCATTTGTAAAATGAGCCGGAGAAGGAAATCGAAAACTACTGCAGTATCTTTGCCAAGAAAACCCCAAATGGGGTCATGAAGAGTCAGACACAACTGAAATGACTCAACAACAGTAAGTAGTAGGTAATAATTATGTGTCTCCAAAAGGCCTTCCTTATAATGTAAAGGTATAGCCTAGGAACTGGAGGGAGAGCCCTGAGGAACTCCAATAACCTTGTCCCATTTGCTATAAATTTATCATATTAGTTTATTGGCCCTGTATTTGGTCAGTTAGAGGGAAAGGGGGGCAGCATGAGAGTTCTAGGCCAGAACTCTTCTGCCTTCAATCCTAGCAATTCATTGTTTGGGCCTAAAGATAGCACCATAAAGGTATAGATAAACTTATTCATTTATTTTGGTTAGACTTGTGTCTGTGAACATAAAGAGTTACATACAGTTACAATTGCCTTTGCTAGAGATAAAGAATTTCACTGTTGTATGGGGCTATATATCTAAAACCAAACTTTTAGAAAAGAAAAAGCATTGCCTTTTTAAAAACTAGAAATTTACTTCAACTTTAAGTTGTGATTAATGAGCTCTCGTGAATCTACTAATTATCATATTTTAGGAGAAGCCCTAAACTAGAAGTCTCATTCCAGTAGTAGAGAACAGTATTTCCCAAGAGAGACCTTTTTTTTTTTTTTTTTTTGGTGAGACAGTCAGGGTTAAGTGACTTGCTCTGAGTCACATAGCTATTAAGTGTCTGAGGCTGCATTTGAACTCAGGTCCTCCTGACTCCAAGGCTAGAGCTCTATTCACTGTGCCACCTAGCTGCCCCCCAAGAGAGACTTCTAAATTGGTCATATTGTAAAAGATGAAAAAAATTGAACCACTTAATATTGTTCAAGTTAATTATCTGTACTCTGGTTGTGCTTTTGCCCTTATTTATCTCTGCTCTTTTCAGTGTCTGGATGTACAATTTATTTCGCACCATTCTATAGCACTCTTATTTTTTATATCCTTATTCATGACACTTCTATTCATGTGTCACCTGGTCTTCATTTCCCTTATTAATCCTTTTCTGTGCTTCATCTTCTCATGGGCAATAAGAGGTTAAGTAAATATACTTTCTCTTACTATTCTTTTTATAAGTGACAGTAACACAGGATGTCCCCAAAGTCTTCGTGCAATTTTAAGCTACTAAAGCTTAAGCACCCAGTAGTTCATACTTATTTAGCACTTTAAGATTTAGAGCTTTGCTCAATAGCCCTGTGTGATAGGAAGTGTCAGTATTATCCTCATTTTACAAATGAAGAAACTGAGGCTCCGAAAAAATCACACAGTAAACATTAGTGTAGAACTTGAGCCCAGAATTTATTGCTCTAAGATATATATTCTTCACTACACTCTCATCACCTAAAGCACTTACACATAAAACAATTGCTCAGGGTGCTTTGTTGCTTTAGATGGATTGGCTCACTTCCATGGTAGTAGTGGTGGTGGTGGTGGTGGTGGTGGTGGTGGTGGTGGTGGTGGTGGT